TTCTATTTTTAGTAGAGACGGGGTCTCGCTCTTGCTCAGGCTGGTTTCGAACTCTTGAGCTCAAACAATCCGCCTGCCTCGGCCTCCCAGAGAGCTCGGATTACAGGCATGAGCCACCGCGCCCGGCTTCAAGTCTTTTTAAAAGCTAGTAAATGTACTAATTTCCCAATTTTAAAATATTCCAGTAAAAGCAGTTTTTAATGCTTCAGAAAGTCATTCTTATGATTTTCTAACTCTGTATTTTTCAATAGCTATTTTTCATGGACAACTTTTATTAGATTGAATTTATTTATCTCAATTGAAATTATTTATAGGCCACATCCTGGAATTGTCCCCCCACTACTAACATGGCCCCTTGCTACTTCTCAAGGACCCTAGTGGTTTTCACAGCTGTGAGCTCATCACTCTCTGTTCTTTCATGTATCCAACTCAGTCCTTAAAGATAGGAAGATTAAGGTTTATGGCACAAATTGATCTTTTAAAATTGAGCCTTAGTTATAATATAAAGCACATAGTTTATGTAAGGCTTGTTAAAAAGCAGTAGTTCCCCAAGAAGCCCCTCTCATTCTGCTTGCCAGTCCCTAGAGGCAATCACTTTTAATTCTTATTGGAGTCTTTTGTTGCTTATCATCTCTCTCTAAACAAAATTTGTTCTTTTTTTTCCAGAAACACATATTTATCTTCTGATATACTTTATCTTTCTTTGCTGGACTTACTGTTTTCTTCTACTTCCTGGGAGACTTCCTCAATTTTCATGCTGGCTATCATTTTCCTAAGAGCTCTGTCTCATCCTCTGAATGTTCCATTTTATAGCATTTTGCACTTATTTCATAAGTGAAGTCTCTTTCTAAGCATATTACTGTTAGCTTTTATGCCCCCACTCCAATAGTCAGTGTTTGTTTCAACATACGTTCATCTGTTTGTTTTTGGTTTCTACCTCTTGTGTTAGAGGCTTTCCTCAGGAATCTGGTGATCTTTCACTGCCTGTTCATACTTAAGAATGGGACACTAAGAAGCTGGCTAGAAGCTCTGTGCACATGGACAGGGCCTTTACTCCAGGATGAAGTTAGCTGTGCCATTATGCTGGGAACCTACACATCACTGCATTTAAGTCTTTTCTCACAGGCTACTCAGATTCCCCAGAGTAGATACTTCCAATCTGCTGCCTGAAAGCTATAACTCTGGCTACCAGCATTTCAGGAGCCATGCAGGGGAAGAAAGCTGAGGATCTTAACAGTTTACTTGTAAATATTAAGCTACTCCCCTTATTTTCCATACAGTACCCTAATCTCTCAACTGTACCTGATATTGCCTAAACCGGAGATCCTCTGTTTTACCTTCTTCAGGAAATAAATCTCTAGTTTTCTGTTTTTGGTGGTATGGAGGGGATGTTCACAATTTCTCTGCTTTGCAGAATAAGGAAAGGAATCTGAGCTCTAATTGTTGTTTAAACTGACTTTGAATGAGTCCTCCTATTTTTAGCTTCATTTTCATCTCCACTTCCTGAGATACTTGGAGCTACCAATTCTTTTGAGGAGTTCTGTGTAGAAATTGGGTTGATTCTCATCTTTCCTGATTGGTGGCTTAGGATTCATTTTCTTGAGTCTGCTAAGTAATATCCTACTCACCACTCTACATTACAGCTTCCAAAATGTGCTTATTTTCTCTTCTTTAATTTCCTTTGTCCTTGAATAGTTTTGCCTTTTAAGATTATCTGTTAATGTTATAGTAGTGGGATGTCAAAGGGAAGCAGGGTCTAATATGTGTGTTTAATACTATCTTTAACTGGAAGTCCCAGCCATTTGTCTTTAACAAACATTATTTGATAGGAAAAAGAGGCTAGTTGGTAGGATTTGCATTGTCTCCCTATTTATAATGAAAAGTGAATGAAAGAACTTTTTGGTATTGAGGTGATTTCTTTCATCTTCCAGGACTTTCTATCTCTTCTGAATGTCCTTCTCAAAGACTTAGAACACCTCAGTCTATCAGCAAAGCTGTGTCTCAAAACAGGGATGCCGTGGGCCTCATAAGACAAACTACATCATCAGAGAATCCTGATCCTCAGAATATCAAAAGTGAACGTGACGATAAGAAGACTTTGTTTTCAAATATTCCTGAAAGGAGGTATTTCTTTAACATGTTATTAAGAGTTTTAACAGATGCTAACGTTAAATGCCATTTCAGATTGTTAAGCCAGTAAAATATTCCAGACAGATATTTTTAATTAAATTTCACGATATCCCTGTAACATAGGCAATACATAACATAGGCAATCCTTTTTATAAATGAGGAAACTGAGGCTTAAGATTTCAGCTTGGTAGCCAGTTGCAGTGGTTCACACCTGTAATCCCAGGTACTTGGGATGCTAAGGCAGGAGGATCACTTCAGGCCAGGAATTCCAGATTAGCCTGGGCAACATTAGCAAGACCCCATCTCATTAAAAAAAAGAGAGATTTCAGGTTGGTAAATGGTCATGTTTGGATGGGCAAAGTAAATTCTGCAGCACTAAGAAGAAGCAATATGGTATCCTTCTATGCTTGACAGCTCTGAGCTCAAAACAGCTCAGTAACTTACTAGCTATGCAACTTTGGGGCATATTAATTAACTCTCTTAGCTTCACTTTCATCATCTACAAAACAGCAATGCTAATGCCTCCCCCCAGGATTATTAAAAGGTAGACATTTTGTACCACCAGCCTTTATAGAAAGTTCCTTAAGATTGCCATCTTAACAGATGGCAGAGTTAATGTGTACTGAACAACTATTATGTACTGAACAATTATTAACAACCCAGACATGGTTCTGGGTTTTTAATACTGTCATCTCATTTAATCTTCCCAACAACCCTATGAGGTACTAGATCCTTATATTTTCAAGTGTAAGAACTTGAAAAATTAGTAATTTACCCAAAGTCAGCTTTGAATTGGTGAAACTGGATGCTGCTTGCATTCTTTCTACTATACCGTACTGCCTCTGCAGGAATGTGCCAAAGTTACATAATAGTTCTTGTTCGTGAAACATAAATGGATAGCAAATCTGATAGGAAAAAGATATCTTTTTTATTTTTAAATTAATTAATTAATTTTGAAATAGAGTCTCACTCTTTTGCCCTGGCTAGAGTGCAGTGGCTTCGTCATAGCTCACTGCAACCTCAAATTCCTGGGTTCCAGCAATCCTCCCACCTCAGCCGCATGCCACATCACCTGGCTAATTTTTCTATTTTTAGTAGAGATGGGGTCTCGCTCTTGGTCAGACTGGTCTTGAACTCCTGAGCTCAAGCAATCCTCCCACCTTGGCCTCCCAGTGTGCTAGGATTACAGGCGTGAGCCACTGCGTCTGTCAGAAAAAGATAATTTAAAGTAAGTAGGAAATAACATTATAGTCTGGTGCTAAGAGAAGACTGTTGGGTTTATTGCTAATCTGGAGATGAGACAGTATTGAATATTTAGCCATTGTGGCAAATGAGGCTATACACATAAATAAATAAATAAATAAATAAGGGAGGGAAGAAAGGAAGACCTTATGAAATAAAATAGTGGAG